GTACTGTACCAATATTTGTGTAAGCCGCTGAGGTTTTGAAACCCTGAACCTGTTTAGCACCAAAAAAATCTTCATTTTCATTAACCTTTTTAGAACAAACGACAAAATGAACATTGTCTTGATTTAAAGTAATTTAGTGGCAATTGCAATTAAGAAAATTCACGTTATGGTGGTAACTTTTGTTTTCTTGAAGCACAGACAAATTCCACTAAAACAAATCAACCAAGAGATTATTCTAGTAGATTATTCTCTCTGGTTGTAATTAGGATTTATATACCCTGTTCAGGACAGACTTGCACGAAATTATATACCCTGGTTAGGACAGAGAGGACAAAAAACATACCCTGACCAGCGGCACATCCCCGTATAGGTCATATAAGGAGGTACAACCCCACCGGATCAAGATCTCTGCCGTTTAGGGCGGCACGGGAAGAAATATACAGAAACATAAATTCTATTTATAGTATTTTGGTATCTTTTAGATCAGTGAAAAAAGCCTGAACCGCGCGTATATGCGTCTCCTTCATTTCCAAGTTTCCCCTGGGTTACGAAACGATTCAATTGTAACCTTGGCTTACCTGTGGCAAGGCCAGTGGGAGGCTAGCGGAATCCGTGGTCTGAGAAATCACACCACTAACATCTGACCATTACCCCGTGATCAATTATCCGGCAAAATTAGTGCTTTGCACTGCAAAATTATCAACAAACTTCAGCTGTTGACCCTGTGTTTGCTTTTTTTGGTTAATGGGGCCGATCATTTGACTTTTGACGGGGAGGGTGCGATGATGGATTTTTTGATTATGCAAGATCATTTTGCTGCCAAGCCTACTTCTGTGATGGAATTTGTTTCTCATATTTCGAAGTCAATGTAAGACCATTAACTCAAGGCAATCTTTATCTTTGTTCCAAGTCTTTTTGCAGAATACTTATCTTCCCTTCTTCGCCTAGCCTTATGAACAGGATGAATGATGTAACAACGACCAATTTTATCTTTCTTTCTCTTTTCCTCCTCAAATGTCGTTCTTTCAGCCCTATGCACACCCTGTATGTAAATAACACTTTGTACACGTTTTTCTATTTTCGATATCAGCAAAATACGCCCATGTTATTCCCGTCAACTCTTGTAAAATTTCGTGATAAGTAATTGGCGCATATGAAAAGAGTCTCCCCTTGGCTGTCGTCCGGCATAAAATACACTCTTCAACTTCCTAAGTTTTTCTATAGCAGTGATTAGTCCCAGTTACCTGCCTTGCCTTGTGTTTGTGGCAAAAAGCGCGCGCATTCACATTGTTTCGGATCCGCGGTTGTGGATTAGAGAGAACCTCGTGGTAGAAATCAACCTCAGTTTTATTTATCTTTTTCTTTGCAAGTTCAGGTGCGTTTGCTTTTATTTGTCCTTGCGAGCCTTGTATAGACGGAATGAAGTTCAAGTAATTGTCGAATATTGAAGGCTTTTAGTCTTTTCAGCCATGTTGCTAGAGGACTTGAAACTTAGTTGTGCTTCAGTGAGGCACGTGACGATCGAAACATTAAAAATATAGCGTTTAGCATTTCAACTTCAGCACTGTCAGAACTGTCAGTTGAATTTTTATACAAGATACTGAAGAGGAAGACTAACAAACATTTCACTGACTTCGTCGATCTTGGGTGCCAAGGAAGAGGACAACTTTTTAAAGTTGTCCTTTGGAGTTATGCAGTCCATTGCAATAAAGTTCTGGAATGAAGTGGTCGTTCCCTCAAAAGTGTTCCGCAAATTTTGCAAAATAGAACGGTCGAAGTTCACTTTATGAACGTAAAATGATTATCACATCTGTATTACTGGGGATCAATGTCACTGAAATAACGTAAATGTTGGTTATTTAACCCGACATCATACGTGTCTTTTTGATACGCAGAGTCCAATTTTCACCCGGCAGGACTGACTGATGACTTTTGAATAGACCCAGTTCATCAAAAGTGCTCACCAACTTGCAAGCAGTTGGTTTGCTACACTTTGCGACATAGTTTAACTTAGCTCTATCATTTCAAAGGACCCTTCAATTTTGTTCTCATACACATCTACGTAGTACGCAGGTTTATTAGGTTCAACTTTGTTGTCAGAGACAGAGGACAGAGACTTGCGTTGCGTGAGGGGCGGATCGCGGATCGAAACTTAGCTGAGGTCACCCGGAAAAAAAATACTGAAGCCTGGTAGAAATGTCATAAATGGCGGCTTATAGAAATTGTGTGCTTATTTGGGTATCAGCCCTGGATTAACGTAAAACCACGCGCTATATATTTCACTTCATTTCCACAGCGAAGCCAGAGAGCGGTGCTTGCTGTTAGCTGAGTGAAAAGACAAACCATGGCAGCTTCAAATATGGCCCTGTTCAGCATGACATTTTTGTGCACAATGTCCATCGGTAGGTAATCAAATTCGACTATGTTATATTCCCGTCTAAATCACTTCATGGTTAAAAAGAATAACTCCCAAAGGCTCGGAGATCTTGGATTAACTCAACACTTCACGCTTCAGTCCTCGCAGGTGCTACTACGATTTCACGGCTCAACGTATGTAACCACACGGCACGTTCGGTCAAATTAGTGTATCATTTACGTTAGGTCAGCTTCATTTGCCTCACAAATAAGTAAGTACATAGCCAAAAATCACTCCAGGAA